ACCTTCATTACATCGCTTATGTATTTCTTCACTGCCGACCATGTGTCATCCACATGAACACTGGGCGAGAAGATGTATATTCTCTCAAAGGATCTTCTGTAGATTTTTAGTATCAAGTTCTGGATCAATACTGTTTTACCGCCTGTTGAAGAAGCCACACACAACATCCGCGCGGGTAGCTTCGGCATCATGTCAAACTTGCTGTTTTTATATTTATATTCGGGTATGTCTATCGGTTCCACTTTGGGTATTTCTGCGCTCATTAACTAATAAGAGAAAAATATCATTCAATATAATGGATAGGTATTTGGAAACGATAGAGGAGATTGAGGAAATTGAAAAGATTGTAATACAAGATACCAAGCTTAAAAGGTGTTGCGCCGCTTCTTTAGAATTGCTTAAGGCAGTTCTTGAGTATTTAAAAAATCGAAGAAATGTTAATGAGCGAAAATCATAAAGAACCTAACGAAGGTGGCTTTCACTTGAACACGGATGGGTTAAACTGTTTGCCCTGCAAATGCAGAAGAAAGACTTTTCACAAAGAAACTAAGATAAACAATGAAGGTAAAACAATAATTGAAGATAGAAGCAGTTGGAAAATGGGAAGAGGAATAACCCCCGATGAAAACGACATCTTTAAGACAAACTCACAAGATAATGAAGGTGTTGATACGGTTACCGCCGGATGGGGATCAAGAAAACCCACGCCAGAAGAGAGACTAGAAAAAGTGGAGGAGGATGTTGAAAAGATAGACAAAGATGTAACTATTTTGAAGAATAACTTAAATATGATGGATTAAAAAATCTAGTTTATATTGACAGTGTATAGTTCCCCCTGCCCAGACATCTAAAAGAAAATCAGGTCCCATTGCTCCCGTGTGTGTGATGAACAGATTCATAAGCACACCATAAGAGTAAATAAAATATTAGTTGATTTTGATCCATATAATGAAACAGTTAATGTTGTTACTAGGAAGTGTTATCGTTGTAAGCAAGACAAAAATATTGATTGTTTTAAGCGTTGCTATTACGCTGGTAAGCATTCCTATTATTATGTTAAATACATTGCGACTTGTTCAGAATGCTTAGAGAAGTCTGTCAAATAAACCGCGATCCAGTAAATCTTAAGAAAATAATATTTCTGAGGAAAATGACTTAAAGAAATAACACTTACATATATTAACAGGGAAATGTTCAAGTTTGAAAATTGTTGGAAGTGCGAAGAAACCAACAAAGTAAGGGTGTTAAATAGCAAATTGCCGATTGATATATGTAGTCGTGTATGTGAATATGACAAGTGCGATAAGTGTAGAAATAAGATTTTAGAAATTGAAGACTTTGATAAAAACCTCAAACTTTCAAAGTTAAACAAAGTGCAAAAAATAAGAATACACTTGCTATATCGTAACAACGACATTGATACAATCATGGATAGGCGAAAATACAAAAACGTCATCAGAAGGTCAAATAACCCACTGCGAAAGATAATGAAGCAGTTTATGAATATCAGAAACCATTCAGACCGCGAACGTTTTATGTTTCACGGTGTATGTCACGTGATGCTATTGTATTGTGTCATTCGCAATTTAACCGATATAGAAGAGCTTAAAAAGGAAATCGCGCATTACAAGATTAAAACCGCTACTATAAGATTTAACGGCTTTGAAATTAGTAAGGAAGTTATAGTAAAGGAAATACTACGAGAATGTTTTGATTTTTGGTTGGTTGGTTGGAGAGATTATTATAATACAACCACTGAAGAGATTATGGAATATGTAGATTATGTATTTTCATTAGTATAGAAACAACAATAACACTATTATTAGCATGGTTATAGTTATAAGGTAATTATAACACATAAGCAGTTATATATTCTAATTACAATGTAGTTTTAACCCTTAACCCTAAACCCTGAACCAAATTCTACAAGGACCCCCTTGCCCAGTTTGGGTAATAATGCCACCTTAGAAATTATGAATGGGGTAATGGTTATTCCTAGAATTGTATTGATAATGGGGTAGTAGTGGTGATATATCGGTGAAGTGTAGGGGGGAGTATAGGAATAATCATCTAATGGGGGAAGTAGTAGTGATATATCGGTGAAGTGTAGGGTGGACCCTAGGAATGATCATCTAATGGGTTGGCAGTGTCATTATTACCCAAACTGGGAATGCTAGTCCCTAACTAAATCTAACACACGCAGAGGAAGCTGAGAAACCGGAGTCGTGGAAGTGCAGGTAAATGGACTTCACCTTTAGTTTTGTCACGCTCAGAAACAACACGGGCCTGTAGGTGCAGTAGCCTTAAATTACGCACTGTCTGAGAATCAAGTGGCAAAGCTCTGGTTTGTGGACTGCGTGGATGGAGCTACTCGGCTCAAACAATGGAGCCAGGTAGGGACTAAGGACCTACGCAATGAAGCGCCGTGCCCAGCTTGTGTGGGCACTGCTCCTGGGCCGATGGCTTCAGGTGCATTCTTTAAACCACCCTGCCGTGGATGCTGCCGGCCAGCTGCGTGGTAGCTCAACGCTGAGCCTTGTGCAGGTGCCGTCTTGGGGGGTTGGGGAGAGCCGGGGTTGTGTTTTTCGTTGTTGCGTCAACACATTGGCTTTTAGTTCGGCACAGGCACCGGCTCCAGCTCCGGCAGTGGTCTCTGCCGTGTCGCCTGCATCTCTGGGCATGGTTGGGCCCCCCGGAGACCCGGGAGAAGTCGGGCCTCAGGGAGATGCTGGGCCCGATGGCCCGGAGGGCCCACCTGGGCCTCCAGGTCCGCCGGGGCCGACGGTGATGGTTTCCCTGCCGATGGGGGTCGCTCCGAATCCTTGGATGCAGATGTATCCCATGCAGATGCCCATGGTGCCCCTTGCCATCATTCCCACGCCCACCAGCGCGCCTCGCGAGCCGCTTGTGGCTGCAGCACCGGCCCCTGCGCCCATACTAGCAGCCGCCCCGATGACTGCAAGCCGAGCACGAGCAGAGGAGATCTGCACCAAAATGGATGCAGTGGATGACCAGCACGAGCACTGCATCAAGACAGTCTTGAAGTCCATGGAGAAAGGGCACTCGGAGGAACAGTCCATGCTCATGGCCAATGCGACCCTTCAGCTCCTCCAGCTGGGGCTTCCCGCCTCCGCTGCCGATGCTGGGGCCCTGGAAGCCCTGCGTGGCTTCACGGATGGGATGCCCTTCCACACAGCCTTGAACCATGGCCAAGCCGCGGCCATCTACGAGAATGCGTTGCTGAATGGCTACACGCCGGCAGCTGCCAAGATCGCCCGCATGAACGCGCTCCGTACGCTGGAGGCGGGATATTCCAGGAAGGCCTCCTTTGTGGCCAGTGAGGCCGCAGCAAAGGCCATCGAAGCGGGCTTGACCCCGGCGGCTGCAGAAGCAGCAGCTACGGCTTCCGCAAATGCGATTCGGGATGGGAAGTCTGTTGAAGAGGCTGCTGCCGCTGGCGCCGCTGTTGCTTCGGTGACCAAGGATGGTTCACACATCGTGATCCACATTCACGAGCATGACAAGGACGGACAGGCCAGGAACGTAGTTGTATAACTCAGTTGTTCGAAAACATCGTTTGGGGCAAGCTGGGGAAAGCTGTGCTGCAATGCGCGACGGAGTGTGCCCGGCCAGGTCTTGAAGTACAGGTACCAGGAAGGTTCAAAGGCAGCTGCAGCAGTGTCAGTACCACCAGCGGCCACCGTTCCCAAGCCCGACCCTCCTCAGCCAGCTGTCAAACTGCCCGTGACACCCGTGGCGCCCGTGGCACCCGTGGCGCCCGTGGCAGTGCCAGCACCGGCAACAGTTCAAGTGCTCGACGCTCCCAAAGTAGTCGCGCCAGCACCTCCGCCCGTGATGCCAGCAGAGCCAGCAGCACAGCGGCAGCATGCGGCAGTTCGTTTAAGTTAAGTCAATCTGAAGGTCTAGGTCACCAGATGTAATCTGGACGTTGCGGGAAGCAGGGTTCCAAGCTGGTTTTAACGCAGGCTTTTGTGAGAGCAGCTGAGGTGAAGATGCCAGTGCCCGTCCGTGAGCCGGAGCCGGCGGAAGCTGCTCCAATCGCTCCAAGCCCGGAAGCAGGAGGCGGAAGCGATGCGCTGTTGAGGCCACCCAAGCTGCCGGCAGCATCTGCAACGGCACCAGCCTCAGCGCCCGCAGCGGCGCCAGCCCAAGCGGCAGCAAAGGTTGCAAAGAGCCCAGAGAGCTCCGATATGCCTGTTCCTGCCAAGGCTGCTCCCCTGCAGCCCGCACCCATACCTGTTGCACCCGCGGCTTCCACTCCCATCGCTGCAGCACCTGCGCCGGCGCTGGCAGCAAAGGGTACGGGAGGTGCCGTTGAAGTAGCCGAGGGTGCCAACGCCGGTGCCGACACGAAGGCGACCGCTGGCAGCGGAGCTGGCAGCGAAGCTGGCAGCGGAAAAGATGCGACTCCAACCGGAGCCGGCGATGCCCCGGTTGAAGCATCGAAGAGCTCTGCACGCCCTGTGGAGGCCGAGACTGCCAGCAAAACCAGTGCCCCCAAGTCCGAGACAAAGTCAGAGACAAAGTCCGAGACGAAGTCCGAGACGAAGTCCGAGACAGAGGAAGCCAAGGCGGCGAACTCTGACGTCAGCCAAAGTAGCCAAGGCTCTACGAAATCCACAAAAGCTCCGGCCTCCAAAACGCCCTCGTCGCCCTCAGCCACCAAGGCTTCCCCGGAGGCATCCTCCAGCGCTGCAGCGCCGGCCGTGCCGGCCGCGCCTGCCAATTCCTCACAAGACGAGGGCATCCTCGAGACCATCGTGGACTCAGTGAAGGAGGCAGCGAGCTACGTGCCCTTCCTTCCCTGGTCTCTTCAGGAAGAGATGGAGGCCAACAGCACAGATGCGACCTCCTGAGGCCCTAGCACCAGAGCCGGCTGCAAGCCGTTCGAAGCGGCGGATTGAAACAGCTGTGCCTTGCGTCGCTGCGGGGGGTCACTTTTCACCCAGGCGACGATGTTGCGCGAAACGTTGCCCGAGGTTCGACAGGCTGCTGAATGACCTGAATTGGGAACGGCCGCAGGCAAAGGGGAAGCCTTTGTGAAATTCGAAAATGCTAGGAAGCCTTCGGTGACCCAATGGAGTTTGGGTATCGACTTGCAGGTGCATGGCAAAGCGCTGCCTCGCAGTGCCTGCTGGTTGACAGTCTGAAGCTTGGTTTCGGAGTCGATTGGGAGGAGGGGGGCTGAGACTGCTTCTTATGCAAGAGACCTTGCAACATGCGTCGCTCAGACCGCCGGCTGCACTTGCACGTCCTTGGCCAAGTTGCGGTGCTGTTTTGCTTTACCGCAACGTGATGCAACGTGGTTTGTGCCATTCCTGCATGATACACGTGGTGAGTCCCTGCAGGTACCGGTACAGTGGCACCTCTTGGCCAAACATGGTGATGCCACAGTGGTTCGTGGAGCTGACAGACGAGGCACCTGGCTGAAACGGCAGCGTTGAGTGCTGACAGATTGTTCTTGCGAGTGCCTTTTGTTTGTCCCGTCAGCCCAGGTGTGCCGTGCTTGCGAAGTTCCAGAGCGCCCCAACTCGTGCAATGCAAACCTGTACGAGGCATTCTGCCTGAGACGTCTGGCGTCAGCATGTTTTATTCGTTTCAGGAAGTACGAGCCCGACGTAGTGATACAGTGCACGGGGACTTTGTGTCTTAGGACGGCGCCGATTCCGTGGGCTGGCATGCAGACGACGAGCGGCCTGTCGGCATGAGCTTGGACCGGGACGAAGTGCTAGCAATCGAGTATTCACTTGAGGCCGTACTTCGATGCCAAGCATGCGGATACGCTCATCATCTCTCTGTCTCTGGGCGCGGCTTGCACCCAAGATCACCAAGGATTGTCTGTAGCATTCGAGCCCTTCAAATCGATGACTGCGATGCTGCTGAGACGCGTACCTTCCTGCTTCGTCCCAATGATGCCCCGCAACAGAAGACAAAGCAGCTGCCTCAATCCAGCACTGGCGCAAACCAACTGAGTTGAAAGGTTGCACAAAGACCCTGGTTGTTGTCAGGGTATCTCTGGAAAATGGGGATCTGGCAACGATGGAAGGCCGAATTGCTTTGCGCACCCGTCGGAAGCAGCTGATTGCTTTGTTATGGTTGGAAGGGCAAGTTGTGCTGGACTGCAAGCTTCTCGAAACACAGCCTCATGACCCGACACTACGGTAGGGTGGCATAGCTGCCAGTACTCGGAGTTCACAGCTGCCAGTACTGTACTGGAATGCTTGCAAGCCAATTGCAGCAATCAATTCGGGACCTCTTCCCAACAAAATTCAGTGCGCAGCCTCATGGACGCCCCTGGGCACTGCCGAGTCCATGCATCTTAGCACAGCTGCGTACTTGCGTCTTGGATCTGTGCATATGGGAGAGAATTGGCGGGTTTATGACATGTGCCTGTGCAAGATCTTTGAAGATTCTTGATCTGCTGTTGCACTTTGATTCCGAGGTATTCAAGCCCAGCAAGTTTCGGTGGCATCTGGGATCCTCCACTGCGCTTGCCATGGTTGTTGTAGACTGTTCAAGACTCGCAAGGCTTCGTGTGAAACTTTCGCTCCACGAGGAGAAAGACGCCATCCTGGATGCGACGCTGCCGGTTGAAGAGTGCGACTGCCAGGCTGCTTAGGGCACGAGGGGGCATGGGTTCTTGACAGGAAAACATCCATTGTGCTCGGTCTCCATTGGCAAATAGTTGCGTTCACTGCCGGCAGTGGTCAAAAGAAGAAGAAGAAACACAACTTCGATGCCGCTCACTTTGGCGCATCTTGCTCCGTGGGTCGTCCACAACGCCGTAACCAACAGTGCCAAGGCAGATTCTGCACGCCGCCTCAAACATTGCCATGGCAACGGTTAGGGTTCCACACCCCGCGTGTCCCACGTTGAGTGACTCGTAAGCCGGCGGCCGCAAAGCTTGAGCAAACGGGACCGACGCTTCGTGTGTCTCGTGGACGTCTCGGGCACGACCCCGGCGATTCTTTCGACAACTTGATCCGAGTACGTCGTGACATCGTGACAGCTGCAGGCGGCCTCTCAAAGAGTTTTTGCGCTCGGACCCTTGAGAGGGAGCGGCACCCACCGGCCTGAAGTGGAGGGAGTTTCTGGAGCAACTCCGCCGAAGCCTTAGAGCCCTCCGAGAAGTCCCTCTTGCTTTGCATGCTGTGTAGTTCGTTGTCATGTCGTTCAGCATTCCATGTGCTGAGGCCAGAACCTGCGGGAGGATGCGAGCTTCTCCAGGCACGGGCTCGGAGTCTTGAATCCCTGCATGGCTTGCCCGAATTATCAGCGGCTTTATCAGCGGCTTAGGCCTCCCCCACCTTCCACCTGCTTTCCTCAAGTCAAGGCCGTCTCGTTTCCGTGTCAAGTGATCCCTTCTCTAAGATTCCAAGCCTTCACCCTGCGCCTCACCAGAGGAAGCTGTCACCCTACTGTCGCCTGAGAAACGCACAAAACAATGGCAAAGTCATCGTGATGACTCGTGCTCGTAAGTCGGCATTGGGATCAGGGGGACGTGCAGGATCTTCTTTGCACGCAAGCTGCCGGGTTGTTGGATGCTGGGGGGGTTTGGTCAGTAGCCGAGGTCTACTGAGTCTACCAGCTTTACGAAGTGCTTCCCCGCAGTCCCAGATGACTGGTCGATGTTCGGGTTGACGCACGTTGATGCCGCGAGTGCACGAAGAATTTCTGTGAGGCCCTGGGTCCATGAGCTTTGCGCTGCAGCTTATCCAGCCTTCTTTGGTGCTGTGCACATGGACGAGGCCCGGAGGTCCGTTTTGCATTGTCTTCATTTAACACTTTGACACTGTCTTTTAAAGCGTTCTCCCACCGTCTGTGCGATCTGCGCCTTGGTGAGTCATGACTCGGTGCCTTGCTCTCGGAGGTCACGGGGGAGATCACGCAGATCTCGCGGGGCCGCTGCAGTGCTGGGCTCGTTGCGATGGCTGCCGTTTGCAGCCAGTCCATCGCCTTGCGGCCTGGCTCATCCTCAACAGCTCTTGTCCTATTTGGGGGTTTCCGACAATAGGGAAACCTTTTGGGGGTTCCTTTAAAGGGATTATGGAGTATTTTGGGTATTTAAGGGGCACCTGGGTTCCCCATGTGTTCACCGAGTCGCAGCCTTTTCTATCGCACATCGCAGGGCATTGCTGTCTCCTGTGATTGAGGCAGATGAGGCCAATGAGACAGACGAGAGGGTGGTCCTGGACGGAGCGGCCTGTGAAACACGAGGGCAGGGCAATCGAGGCAGCAAACCGGCCTAAAGCTTTCATCACTTGCTCTCAAAACTCTCAGGCACTTCTACTTTCCAACCTTTTGCCAGGACATTTTGAGGAGCATGCCGGTGGAGGAATGTTTGCAGCTCTGTGAGCAGAAGCCTGAAGCTGGGCTTTCAGAGCTTTGGCCATGGCCACGCTACCCCAGAGATGTCGAGCATGTGCCGTGTTTCCTGCTGCTCAGGATTGTGCATCGGTTGCTCATGGGCCATTCGGCTGCCACCTGAAGGACAAGTGCGTTTCGCAAGCAGACGAGCCTCTTGCCAGCAGCACGCAAACTTGGGGGAATTTTTCGCTGAGTATGTGGATGTGGGCCCTTGCGCTCTGAGGTTGGTGCTTCCTGGCGTTGCGCAGGGCTACAGCACCGGCCTCGGAGCAAACAATGGACTCGTTGACTCAAGTTGACTCAAGTTGAGACTCTTGATCAGGAACCTTTTTCCGCAACACCAGCCTTTGCCCGGCAGCTGACCCGGCCCAGCCCTCCAAGTCGCTGGGCTCTGGCCGGCTTTCCGAAATCCGGCTCTTGAGACTTAACCGAAACTAACAAAAAAGAAAGATGCCGTAAACTTGAGAGGGATCTCTGGGAGTTTGTTTGACGAAGAGGGAGGGTTTTTTTCAGGCATGCCTGATGCTTGGGGGGCCCTCTGAGGATGGACTCGGCCACCCGCTTGCTGGAGATGGCGGTCCACTGCCTGGACGAGTCGGACTGGCCCTTCTCCGTGGCGGAGGTCCTGGCGCGGCCTGCTTTGCAAATTTGGACTTTGGAAGACTTGTGCCCCCTGCCCATGTGGAGTTTAAGAAGACTTCTCTTAAGGAATCGTGTGGAATTTGTTGCCGCAGCGACTCTTGGCTGCAGACAGAAGCGCCTGGCCGCCACTAGGGTCCTCGGGGCCGCGGGTGCGATGTGCCGTACTGTGAGGTTGCATGCCCATCAAGACGAGCACGCGTTCGACTTCCAGTGGCAGCGTGCCCTCCGATTCGATTTTCCATCTTCCTGTGTGCCGGCCCAGCAAGCCGATGATGCTGGCTCTGTTTGCCGCACATTGGACAGGCCCGGGATCTGTTGACATGGCTGCATGGCTGTGTGGCTTCAGCACTTTAAGGCTTTTGACGAAGTCTCACTTGCAATCCAGTTCAGTGTATGGAGGAGTCTAGTGCAGCTTAAGCCAACCTACATGAAGTCCACGGAGCATCTCACTGCATGGGCTCTCTGGGCTTTCTGGCTTCCGATTATATGGTCCTACTAGTGTATGGTTACATCATTGTATTATTATACTACTATATATATATATATATATGTATTTTTTTTTACTATGTTGTTCGATTGTGATTTTGTCTTGTTGTTCTAGTAATATAGTACTACAACAAACTTATGTAAGCATGGTATAGTGACTCCCGGCTGGTCTGGCAGTGGTAAAGACTTGGAGATGCGGCCAGTGTGACGAGTTCTTTCGTTCTCTATTCGCATGAACAGCCGAACACGATTGCACCAATGCGCAGCTCCTAGTGGGGGTGGGGCCGCAGGTCCCAGCCGAACCCCTGAGCCAAAGCCAAGCTATGTCAAAAACGGTCGGGCGCACATGAATCAAGTGACCGGTCACATTCCTACCTTAACACAGAAAGTTGCGTGCGTGCTGCCGGCCCCTTCCCTCCCAACCTCCGCGCAGAAGCCGAGAGCGCCCCCCCTCCCCCCTCCCCCCCCCTGAAACTACATGCTTTCATCAGCTGCGGCCCCTGCCAGGCTGCTCATCCGATGGGTCCGAGGCGGGGGAAGCTGGTTCGTATAACGGTTCAGAGGCAGGTGTCGCCAGCGGGAACTCCAGGCCTGGACTCCGAAGTGGGCTTCTGGCACGCCCTGATGGATCCGGCATCCGAGACCAACCCAGACGTCGATGCGACCTCTTGGCAAAGTGCCAGAACCTGGCTGCAAGAAGGCGGCCAGCTGCCAAAAATCCGGGTTAGGCGGGTTTGGGGTTTTGTGGGGCCACTTCTGTCATGAGAGCAAGTGCGCGGCTGACTTGCCGCGGCGCTTGCGATCATAGCTTCGATCATACAGAACTTATCCACGACAGTCACGACAGTCGTCATTGCGGCCATGTCATCCTGCCCAGTTCGACATCACTTCCCACGCAGGAAGAGCAAGGGAGTTTGAGATCACAATGGTCTATTTCAATAGTGGCCACGATCGTCTGAAAGCAATCCAGGATGGTGTAGCCGAAGACTTGACTTGGAATCAGCCTCCTCACACGAGAGTTGGGTTCGGTATCATGTGCCGTGGTGGGTTGCTCCATCAACATACTCACGTAGCGTGGTCAAGTGATGCCACCGAGCATGGTCACCTCAGCGGTATCAATCTGTTCCACCACGGGCACACCATATGCAAACTGGCATTCCTCACGTGCTCGGGCGATGGCCCGGAACATATCCATTCACAGGCCACCTTCTTTCTGTCAGAGTCAGCTCCCCATGTCCACATGCATGTCGTCCTTGTGCCAAATTGTGTATCGATACCGTGGATGTTATGGTGATGCGATATGAAGTCGACAAAGGTGGACACGGTCGCGGTCGTTCGCGGTGCTAGCTTCTGATCGGGTCATGTTGCTCTGCCCCATGGCTGAGCGCCAAAAGTCTGGCGCTTGCTTTACCACGCGCTGGATCAACGAGTTTCGAGTGTTCACATCAGGAAGCGGCCAGCGCACGCCAGAGTGTTCCTTCCGTTTTTGTTTGGGCTAATGGATCAAAGATCGTTTGACAATTCAATTAGGCCATTCAGCTGGGTTGCTTTCCAATCCTGCGGCTGAATTGACTGGCGCAAGAATGGTTCATGCTGTAGTCGCGGCATTCGAGGCTCAGGGCCGGGACTTAGACGACAAGATATGGTCTCCAGCTGCAAACCGCCCCTGTGTGTGCTAGGTCATGTTAGCTGGCACTATGGTGACATCTGCATCTTCGTGGAAAAAGCCAGAGCGGCTTCAGATGAGCAATTTGGCCGTCCACGTGCGGCAGCCTTAGGTGGGGCATCTGGGAGCTGGTTGTGAAGTACTCTCCCGCGCAACTTGGCCCCCTTCCCATGTTCCAGAGGTACTCAATGCTGGGTCGGGGCCCCTGGCTCCCAAAGATATTGCTTGCCAAGAAGGCAAGGCGATCCCAGTCATTGCAGCCGATGGCTTGGCCAGATTTTACATGCAGCTCTACGTGGCCTGGCTGCATGTACGTCATGCGCCTGGTGCGTGTTGCAAATGGGCGATGGGCTGTGACGTTGTGCGCTGGGGAATGCAGGATATCCTTGGCCATGAACCCCCTGCCGTGCCAGCTCAATGTCCCACCGAGCTCTTGCACCAATGCTTCCCGCAACATCACTTCGACGTGGTACATGTGCGGAACTTGGGCGGCAAGCCAGCTGCCAGCCTACAAGTTCGGGACATTGAGGTGCCGTCTAATCAGACATCGCCCGCGTAGCCTCCAGCCGAGGAACTCGCTAGATCATGCTAATGACCCGCTGCTCGGGATTCGACAGATGATCCACGTCGTCCGGCCTGCTGCCAAGCAAACATGCGCACACATGTCGACAGCGGTAGTTCCTCCAAATCTCTTGCAGGCCGGGCGGCTGGGTGCTGCTGCGACATGCCCGGAATGAGGGCGCGCCTCCCTGCTCTGTTTGTTTGGGTTTCCGCTGGGTTCAGGAGGTGGCCTAGACTTCCGGCTCGTGCAAAACCCTTGGCGGTTGCATATCTGGCATTTGTTCTTTGTCCCTTCGCCAGCCAAGGGGGGCCGAATCCTACCACTAGTACAAAGCGTTAAGATTCCGCAATGTGCTCACGCGCAGGCGTCGCTGGCCACTTTCAGCTGGGACTTCACCAATGGGCGCTCCTGGATGGCATGGAGAGGAGGTCACTTTCGTGACTATATAGTGTCTGGCGAATGGCCCCTGTTACACAGTCCCAGCTGAGGTTTGATGTTGAAGATTCAGGAGACGGGCCGCACTTTGTGTGCCTGGGCTGCAAAAGCTTCGTAGATATGCGAACATTCGAAGATGCCCTCCCTGGCCTCTTAGAGTGCTCAGGATCTGGAGCCCATCGCTGCGTGCAGATGTGACTCGGTGGCTCCTCTCCTCGGAGCTCGCCGCGGAAGTTCGGGCAGAGCTGCGGCCTCATCCATCCGGCGGCCCTGAGCAGCTGCTTGGCCGCAAAATTCCCTGGAAAGTTCCCCAAGAGGCACCAGGCACAGGAGTGGTGCACCCTTTCGTTGAGAGTGAGACCTCTGCAAGCCCACTGTCAAAAGGTATGTGTGGGTAGACATCCGCAAGCCCCTGCGCCAGCGCGGTGGAGAGTGAAGTCCCAGCAGATGCTGAAGTGAAAGCGCATGCGAACGAAGAAAAAAGAGGGGTGCGTACCTGTGCAGGCGATGGGTCATTGTAGGAGGGGTAGTGGTAGGGACACGGGGAAGAAACGCCTGGCCAGGTCTTCTCCAGAAGCACTACTCGCATGCGGCCCTTTGTCTGCCAATGTGAGTTGCTAGTTTTTCTTAGGGAAGCGCCTCACGCTTGTGGCCAGGAAGTTTCTATTGCACAGGGGTCAAGATGGATAGTCAGAACGGCAGTCTGAAAGCTCGCTTGTGCCCAGGATTCCTGCAACACGCAACCCCTGCCGGCATGCAATTTGCTTTGTTGCTTGTGCAGTCGCTTGCAGAGGTATTGTCCGAGGGGTCCACGGGAGTGGTGGCCTGAGTCATCAGGAGTGGTTGGTCGCTCCATGCCCCAAAAATGGCCGTTTTTAATCGAGGAACCTTCTTTGAGCCTTTGAGCTCCCACGCATTTCTGAGTTCCGGAATGAGTGCAAGGTTCGCATCAACCTTACCTGGCGGTGGGTTCGGTCCTAAGGAGCACAAGAGCCATCTGGTATGCGATGTGGGTGTGAATCATATAAAATCATGTATGACGTGTCTAAGACTGAGAGCCCACTTGAGGTAGTTGTTCACGACCGCGGGTGTGCAAAGCGCTCCGGCCCTTGCTTTGTGAACTCTCTGCATCGGTTTGTAGTCCAGTCAACTGGGATCCTTTGCTGACGATCGCTTTGCGCCGAGGCCTTGGCAACGGCCGTGCAGCCAGTGAACCAGTGCGTGTGCCACGAAAGGCCCGGAAGGTTCTTCCGAAGGTTCTTCCGCCGAAGGTTCTTCCGGAGGTTCTTCCGAAAGCTCTCCCGCATGTTCTTGCAACGTGCTTGCTTAGTAGTAGGCTTATCTTGCTTGCCACTTGTTGCAGGTTTTGATTGGAGTTGGGGGGTTTCGCTGTTGTTTGCCACCACAGCAGGCAGCGGAGGCCATCACTGAGAGCAAGGCTCATCCTTAGGGCGCGAGCTCATTATATACATATATGTATATATATATATATGTAATATGTATATATATATATATATCTATGTGTATATAACACACTACTATCCTAAGGTGCACATTTTATATTTCTAGTATCCTAAGGTGGTAGATTGGGGGGTATATCAAGAAACCAGAGGCAGATCAGGAAAGCATTCCCAGGCAGCTGCACAGGCGGCTGCGCTGTCGACTGTGAAGCTCTCAGAGCATCCATGGCAAAGATGTGAGGGGGTTTAGGGTTTAGGGTTTAGGGTTGGCACTTTGGGGAGCTGGCTGGCAGGCTAGTGCATTCTTGGAGTCCCTTCATGACTCCATGTGAGTCAGTGCTTCGATGCCGAGCATTCACTGAAGGCGGCTGCCTTGCAAAGCAGGGCAATGCAGGCGCCGCCTGCTGATGCAGTAACCACATGACCATCAAGAAACCTTTCTGTACGCGGCAGGTTGCGGCAGCTTCTGCAGCTCCTCGGCACAAACGATGATTGTGTCATGGCCGTGTGACAATGCCAGGGTGCACAAGCGGCATGTTTGAGGATTTGAGGAAAGTGACACCCAGGCCTCGGCCAAGCTCTCTCGAGCTTCCTCTGCCCGGGCCTGTGAGAGCAAGCGCGAGCCTGCATGCACTGCAAGACTTGGCTGCCACTGGAGGCTGCAGCCACACAGCGGCGCTCTGGTTTGCAACCCGGTGCTGGTGCTCAGGAGCAGCGGGAAGTACATGTTGCATGTGGGTCCTGAGGCCATGCCGACGCACGGGTTGTGCCCGTGCTAAGACCGCTTAGCCCAGGCTGGGCACCAAGCCTGCAATGCAACAGTAAACCTGGGGCCCGCACTTCGCCAGAAGGTCCTTCATCCTTCAACCTGACATTGAAAACGCATTTTGCTTCCCTTTTCTTCATCTAGCTAGCAGGTGCCGCCAGGGTCCTGACCTTAGCCTCTGGGGTGTCATATGGTGTCATACTATCATACTGGCATGGACGAACTAGGGACGTGTCTACATCTTTACATGCCTTCAGTGCTGCATGAGGGCGAGCCAGCTGAGCCTGCTGAGCCCGACAGGACGGCGTTCTTGAGCAGCATGAGCCATGGCAGATTTTCACGGGCTTTAGCCTGCAGGGCCATGCCACCCAAAGCCCAGCTGCTACGCTTGCCGGAGGCATCTCTTGTGTTGGCTTCAGTCGCGCAGTGGCTGTAGCGCCGTGTGTGCTGTCGTGTGCTCAGGACCTGGCAGCTAGGGACAACGTGGTGCCCGAGTTTTCTGAGATTGTTGACAAGGCCATTCCCAGTCATGCCTGGCTCCTGAATATAGAACCACAACAGTCTCATGCGCATTTGCTCCATCCCCTACGTGGCAGCAGGCACGCCGGCTCATGGGACCAGACCCAACGAGAACCGACAGTGCAGTCCTGAGCAGAACTCGTTGTGGACACTTGCTTGAGAACTTGGGGCTTCGAAAATGGATTATACCCCAAATAGACTTGAATCCCCTTAAAAGGACAGGCCAAAAAAGGGTACCTCGGAATCCCCCAAATGTGGGAAAGCAGGTTCCTCGCAGAGGCACAGGACAACCGGGCACGGCTCTCGGTCGCATGTCCCTCGGACGCATCCTGTGCGTATGTTGTGGCCAGGTCCGCAGCCTCAGAACGAGGGAGTGGCGTGAGGAGCTCAACAGAACGACTTAGCTGGCAGCGATCGTGGGTTTCGGTTTGCATGCTGTTGTGAGTTGTGAGTTGTGAGTTGTTGTGAGCGCATCAGGCCCGAGACAGGAGAACAGGCATGCAGGAAAGAAGCCTTCCCAAAACGGAGCAGGCCAGACCAGGTCAACAAACATGTCGTTCGTTCAGAGCCAGCTTCAAGCTGTGTGTGCGGCGAAGTTGGAGCAGTTGCCGCAGAGCGTTTTGCAATGCTTTTTCCCTCTTGCACGCCTCAGCCACTACCGGCTCAATGCCGTGATGGTGCAGTAGCAACACATGAGTCTCCGGTTACGAGAGCAGCACGCTGGATATAAGAGTACGACGCACACCGAAATCTTGGGTTCCTTGAATCATGCTTAAAATTTTCATGTGCAGGTCCAGGTCCATCCGATGATCGATGCAGGCAGTTCTGGCTCTGCGGATGGAATAGGGCAGTCATCAGAGCCTGATGCGCACCGTCCGCAGCCCTGCGTGTGACTTCTTTGTCCGGATCCACCTCGCAGCCTTCGCCAGCAGGTGGTCAGCGGTGAGCTGGTACTCGTCGAAGGCGCTGCCGAATGCTGTGGTTGGTCCATCTGGCAAACGCCGGGCTTTGCTTGGAGACGAGCTTTTGCTCTCTGACCACTTGGGCAGTGGCAGTGCGATGGGAGACGGAAAAGCCTCCTCAAGCCGCACAAGTGTTCGTCCGAAAGCTCTCCCGAAAAAGTTTTCAGGGAGTGCAGACCTGGTATCAACCGATGGTGAGACTGCATTTGTCCGTGAGCGCACAGCCGTTGAAGCCGGCCTGCATCCGGGCAAGGTGGTTGTCCCACCCCATATTCAAAGCAAAGACAAACGGCCGGTGCCATCTCACTTAGCAAGGCGGGTAAGCGACGGCTTCATTGAAACGGTGAACGCGATGTCTGCTGCTTATGCTCCCGAACCTCAGCCAGATCCCGATGATTGGACCGAGTCCGTTTTGCAAGGCCAGCCCACTGAAATGCAAGATGTCGGGGATCTTGAAGCTGGTGATGCTAAGGCTAAGGAGCTCGTGCGCTTGCGGGTGCAGCCCTGGCATCGGCACGAGCTTTGCAAGATGGTTTGCCGACACATCCGCTTCAGCTGCGTGCAAGAGCTACGCTCACTGCAGCGTCAGAAGAGCCACCAGCTGCCAATGTGGGAGTTTGAGAGACAACGTGTTGAATCCTATGTGGCCTCTGCTCGGATTGTTTCGCTAGTGGACTACCTTGCCAGACTACATTTTCAGATTCAGCGTGGCCAGCAGCGTCAAAAGTACATACCTGGAGTTGAACTTGACATCAGCATCAGCCGTTTGAAGGAGATAACGCTGGAGGAACGGCGAAGCATGTCTGCAGCTTTCCAGGCAGAGATGGGCCGCAAAGTCTCTGAAAACACATTCGTTCGCCATTTTCTGGATGGAGACATGTCGTGGGCAACTGTTTGCAAGCTGCTCCAAAGGCGAAAGCCGTTTCACTCGTGATGGCTAGCTAAGTGCAAATTTTCTGCGCTTGCCGAAGCACGGCAGGTACCCGCTCGAGGTTTTCATGCCTCCTTGCCGCGTGCTGCTTGCGTGCCACTGCCGAGCAGTACATGCGAGCTGAGGTATCTTCTCGAGTGAGTGCGGGCAGCCGACGGACGGTCAGCTAAATGGATGTGGTTTCTCTCAGGGCTTTGCCAGCGTAGAGCTGCTGAGTTCAGGGTCATTCCCGTTCGCAAACTGAGCTTCGCAAAATCTGGTGATGGCAGGAGTGGTTTTTTAGTGGCCTCAAGACCAGTGCGCGCAGGCTGCTGGTGTGGGCCCTTCTTCTGCAAGCTTGGGACCCGGACGGGCCTTGTTACGTCTTTGTGAAGAATGTGCGGCAAATGCATGTCAAGGTGTTGGGCCATCGTAAAGTGTCAACACGAATGCCGCAAACGTGCTTGAGTCAGTGGGTGATACATACTTAGCATCACGCAGGCAGGCGCGACCAGCCCTTGTCGAATAGCCTCATGGGCGCACGAGGTGGACACGGCACAATGGACATGTGGTGATCGTAAGACTCGGAGCATGACATGAACTTGACAGATGTGGTGCCCAGTGCAGATGCTTGGCTCCCAAGAAGTTGCGAATGTTTGCATGTGTCAGATGAGCTTGAAATTTCGATGGCCAGTGTGACGTGTGTCTAGGTTCGGAGTCGTGAGAACGGGCCCGACGAGCGCTTGCCTTTCCAGACTGTGTCGGCTGCTTGCTGCAGTTGAGAGAACTTAACTGCGAGGCATTCTGGGAGCCGGCGGCATGTGTCCTTGAAGGAGGTGGGCACATGCACATCGCGCGCATGCGGGGCGCCCGCGCATTGTGAATGAAGGCAGATCAGGCTGGCCGAGCACGCCACAGCTGGAGGCTCAGCATCAGGCAAGCAAGGCAGGCAAGTCACGAGACATGCGGCGATACTAAGAAATCGAGCAGTTGGGCAGTTATACGCTCAGGCGGGAGGCCTGCCGCAAATGCATTGGATGAGGAGATCTACAGCAAGGACCCAGTGTTGTGCAGCGGCATGAGTAGCCGTCTGCAATCACATCGTCGTTGCAGGCTGTCAAACTCATGGGCGCCCATGCGGTGCCCAGAGGAGAAGGCACCAGAGACTGCAGTTGCCTAAAGGGCGCCGCCTTGTGCATCTCAGAGGCTTCAAGACATGTCATGCGAGGTGTCGCTGCCAGAGAGTTGGGCACTTGGAGCACGAGGGGCACGTAGAAGCGCACTGGCGTTTGCGTAGCTTCGGTGATGCATGTGACTCGTCATGACTCGTCCAGGCCAAAGGAGGATCCGCAAGGTCGCAGCGTGCACGGCCCAGCTGTGGAGCTCGCTCAGACCTACTCCCATGGGGGTTTCCGATTTAGGTACCTTAATGGGGCCCTTTTTGTAAAGGAATCGTTCTATTTGGGGGTCTATATTGGGGTCCCTTACTTTCGTAAGCCTTCCCCATCCTCGAGACTGCAAGAGTGACTTGATAGCATCGACCTGAGGATCATCAGGCCACCCCGCGCCCTCGTGTTCAGGCCCACCGGCAATCACATTTGACATCACATGACTTAGTAGTACTTCTTATATATATATATATCTATGTGTGTGTGTGTGTCATATATATATATATATACATATGCTAAGCCCCAAAGTGGGCCAGGTGTGTTTCCGGAAAAGAGCTGGGCCTCCTGTAGCATGATAACATTCCCGGCGTCACCTAAGACTCAGGGTCCCCCAGTGTTCCTTGCGCCCAGCAACTTACTGCTGGTTAGGAATGAGGGAAGTAGGCCCCTATAATATATATAAATAAATAAATATATAAATACATAAATAAATAATTAAATAAATAAATATATATATATATATAATTAATATATATATATATATATATATACCCTTTAAGGGAATGTATAGGGTACCTCATGCCTTCATTCCCTACTAACCAACAGTAAGACAGCTTGTCGAGCCGGCGAAAACTTTAGGGTATGCAGAGCAGAAATACAACGCCGGCGCGAAGAAGGGGTGCAGCCCGCTTGGTATTGCTGCTTTCGGTGCGCTCAAGAGTAACTATACGTAACTATACAACTACAGAAGTATGTAACTATATGTAACCATACAGCTACAAAAGTCCATGATGCACTCCGTCCCGAATCTGGCAAGGCTCGCGTTTGGAAGGCATCTTCCGCTGGCGAAGGCCGAGCCCGTGACTCAGACCTTGGGGTGGCATATGGGTATTTCCCAAAATAGGGGGTACCCCTTTTCTTCCCCAAAGAGGGACCACAAAAGGGCACCCCTATTTTTTGGAAACCCCCATATGATGCCGTGTAGAATGCCGCAGGGGTGCTTCGGCATGTTTTGGATCGCCTGTCCCGAGGCCAGGGCATCTGAATCTGATGGCGGTGCTGGTGCCGCAGGCACCGTTTAGGTTTGCGCATGTTTGCGTGTTTTGTTTTATGCTTCCCTCATCGGAATCGGGCGCCCGTCTGAGCTTCCCTCATCGGAATCGGGTGCCCGTCTGAAAGTGCTGAGTCTACAGCTGCTGATCTGGCTACAGATTTTCACAGGTTCATCCTCGCACAGGTCGAGACCAAGCGAGCCGGATTCCGAGCAAGGGGACTTCCAAGCCAGCTCAGAGCCATTCATCCTATTCCTCCTTGGGAGACAAGGCTCCCTGGGTCTCACCGAAGTGATGCTGCAAGCTCAGCAGGCCCAGATGTCACCGAGGAGCCAGACCTGCGGACCCACCGAGGCTCGCAGTGACAAGAAGAGCTCCGCAGAGGACGGCCACCGCAAGAGCACCAAGGCACATCCACTGCCCTGCTCAAATGGGTGCTTCTCGCCACAAATGGGCACACATGGACGTGTGTCGCCCCTCAGCCCCCAAGATCTTGAGGTGGATCTGCAAAAGGCAGCCCCGGATGCTTCAGCTGGCCAAGGCATTGCAACCACCTGACAGCGAGCTGTATGTATAGACCATCCGTTAGAAGCCTGAGGCAGCAGGCATGAGAAGCTCGTGCTGACACCTCGCCACGCCACTGGAAGCCCAGGCAGCTATCAATGCATTCCTGAATCATGACTGTATCAAGCGGTCCGGGCACATCATTTGATAAGATATGAGCAATCATGACACCCATCGAGCCTGTCGCAGGCTCTGCCGGCAGCACCGACCCTCGGAGCTACTCTGCAGGCGCTGCTTCCCTCACGGCAACTTGGACGCAACACTTCATCATCTCCCGGCAGTTTTTGCAAGATGGGCAAAAGAGGCCACACGCGGCTACGTGCAGGACGAGCGGCGGCTTCAGTCAGTTCTGCGACTTATATCCGTGTACTGGTCCGCTCTTCGCTGCAGGCCAGACCGGAGCTTGCGGCACATGCCGGAGGCGCAGGCTGCATCCGGAATGTACGGCAGCAGAAATCGCGTGATGGAGATACATTCATGTGATGCATGGAGCTTCGAGGCAGATCGTGGCAGAGGCCACCGAGGCCAGGGACGCGGCCTGGTGGTGCGAGAGCGCAAGTTTGTGCGACGGATCCAGGCGAGAGGCCTGTGGAGACCGAGCTCGATGAGCATCTCTACAGCAAGGTGCAAAACATCATATGCAGAACTGCAGAACACTCCCCCCTCCACTCCAGCGATTTTTCGCAGGCTGTGAAGCTGCTGGGTTCACATGCTGTCCCCAGAGGGGATGCAGGCCAAGAAGTAAAAATGTTGGTTTTTTCTGTGTAACTTTTTGTGAGGCGAGGTCCACGTTGAATCGACATTCCATTGCAGGTGCTTCGCCCAAAGCAGAGCCGGGAGCTCACACCTACTCTCGTGTTTCACCGCCGTCACTGGCCAGTCCTTGCGTGAAGCGAAGATGGGTTGTTGAGGTCTGCTCCAAGCAGCTTAGTGCAGATCTCAGACCTGCTGCATCTGCATTGTGCGCATCGTGCCCACCAGCATGATAAGACAAGTGAGAGACTCAGGTGCATGAGTCTACCCGCCCGCGCACGCAGGACGGGCTTTCAGCATGCACGCGCTGACCTGCAACGAGTGATTTGCTTGAACACCCGTATGCCGCTTTCTTTGTGGCAGTCTGCGCATTTGAAAGGCTCGTGTATGGCGGGTGGGGACCTGAGAACTGTGACCCATCCTGTCTAGCATTGCTGCTCCGTCCGGTCGGAACGCCAGGGCAAAGATCGTGGCGATCGCGATCGTGGCGATCGTGGCGAGACATCCTTCAGAGGTCTCCTGCCTGCCTGCGCTCGACACACATCGTTTGCTGGTTAGGTTTACTTGCAGGCGCTGGGGAGTCCACCGCTGGAGATTACGAAGACAATCAGTGGGACGAAGTTGTGCCCTGAGAGTCTTAGAGCGCCCTGCAGCCCTTGAGTGATGCGTGCAATAATGTGAAGTTGCTGCGCTGTAACACACGATTCGTATTCGTATTCTTTTTGCTCTTTGTGGGTAAGAAAGCGCAGCCCGGAGCACGCGAACTGGAACGGAACGAGCGCCGTGCTGAGGGCATGCGTGAATATGGCGCGGACCAGTACCGGGAGCAAAGGGAGCCCAATGTGCGTCGCGATGAAGGCATGTTGGGAATGTGCAGTTGCTTGCATTGGCTTGTTGGCCTGCTCTGGGGTACTGAGGCCATTTCAGGCCATTTCCATTTTCGGAGGGAAGGGGCCCGGTTGGACTTGCCAAGTGGTCCAGGCAGGCCGCTGCCCCCTCGACCTCCACTTGCGCGACCCCGCAGGCGTCTCAGGAAGCTGTGGCGCGGAGCGGTTTCCCGTGAACCCAACGTTCGCCCAAGTTGCGCCGCTCAACTGCTTGAGCCTTGAGCTGATGTGTTGCGTGGCCCCGCTGCCAAGGCCAAGTCGTTCTGAAGTCTCGGAGCAGGAGTCCAAAAAGCCTCGCAGCACGGGACGGCAATGACCACAGGCCTGAACACCTCCCTGACCTCCCTGGCCTCCCTGAAGATTCTCCCAGAGCACCCCAG